CCTCTGTCTCCCTCACAGGCCCCATCGGCGGCCCGGTGAAGCTGCGAGGCGGCTCCCCCTACTCCCAGTACGACATGCTGGGGGGCGCCGAGGCGCTGGGGGCGCCCCCTGCCAGCGGGGGGGACAGCTGGCTGCCACACCGCACCCCGGGCAGCAAGCTGGGCAGCAAGATCGGCACCTCCAGCTGGCCCCCAGGTAACGGCCGCGCCCCCGCCCGTCGTGTCCGCCGGCGCGGATGGTGTGTGTGGAGGGGGGCGGGTACGTTCCCTCGGGGCCTCTGTGCTCTCCTGGGCTGATCTCCCTCAGTGCTGGGGCGCGGGCAGCCGCAGTGCAGCGCAGCGCAGGTGGGAGAGGAGGTCCGTTGCGGACAGGCCCCCCCGAGATCAGGCCCCCCCGAGCGGTCGCTCCTGGTCTGCGTGCCCTCGCTCGCCCGCGCCTTGTGACTCCCCGGGCTGTGCGCCTGTTTAAAGTTGGCCGTCTGGTCCTCTGCGCGGACCCCCGAGTCCGGCTGGGGGTGCCCCGGCCAGGCGGGGGCGAGGGGTTTACCTGGTGTCCCCGCTGGTGTCCCCGCAGAGTTCCAGCCCGGTGTTCCCTGGAAGGGGATGCAGAGCGCTGACCCCGAGTCTGACCCCTACGTGACCCCGGGCAGCGTGCTGGGAACCTCGGGGTCCTCAACTCTCGCTGACACTGAGCACCAGCTGCTGAGAGACAACACAGGTACACAGCGCCCCGAACCCTGGGGGAGACATAGGGGTACACAGCGCCCCCGAACACTGTGGACGACGGGTACACAGGGCACCTTGTCGCTGGGGACGACATAGGGGTACACAGTGCCCCCGAACACTGGGGACGACAGGGGTACACAGCGCCCCTGGTCGCTGGGGACGTCATAGGGATACACAGCGCCCCCGAACACTGGGGACGTCATAGGGGTACACAGCGCCCCCGAACACTGGGGACGACATAGGGGTACACAGCACCCCAGACACTGGAGAGACAGTGCTGGTACACTTTGCGGGTGGGTGGACACTGAGGCAGTGACCGTCTCGTGCTCTCTCACTCCTAGGGTCTAACCCTTCCCTCGACACCTTGCTGCCTTCACCCGGTGCCTGGCCCTACAGTGCCTCTGACAGCCCCCACAGCAACGCACACAACTCAGGTACAGGCTGCTGGGCCCAGTGTCCGTCTCTTGTCTGTTCTGTGCTGTACAGGTGTGGCTGGATGTGCACTGTGCAGCCTTTGAGTACTGGCCTCTTGTTTTTTTATCTAACAGACTATCACAGTCTCTCTCTCCTTGTCCTTCTGTCATGCCCTCCCAGCAAAGTACACTGAGTATAAACCCAGCTGGCCTCCCGAGCCCATTGGACACAACAAGCTCTGGAAGACCAATCGCAACTCCTCCCAGGTGCCACGCCCCCCACCGGGGCTCACCAATCAGAAGCAGCCCTCCCCCTCCCCCTGGGCTGGAGGAGGCCCACGATTGGCCAGGGGCTGGGGAGGGGGCGGTGGCCAAGACACTAGATATGGGGCAGGTAGGTTCATTTTAATACACACCTCGATCGTGGTACGTACAGCCATACAGCACCTGTTCGGTGCCATAGCATTATCAAGACCGTATTTGAGAGAACAGTGGAGCTTAGACCTAAAAAGGTGCTGTTGAGTCCAG